AAAAAAAACAGTATATATATATATATACATGCTCTTTTAATATTGATAATTATTAGAAAATTCATAACGTGTTGCATTTGATTTTTATTCCAGGGCCGATGTAATCGGGAAAAGCCGCCATGCAAATATTTCCATCCACCACAACACCTGAAGGACCAGCTTTTAATAAACGGGCGTAATCACTTAGCCCTGAAGAATGCGCTGATGCAGCAGATGGGTCTTAGCCCGGCCCAGCCACTAGTGCCTGGCCAGGTACCAACAGTGGTATGTCCGAAATTTAACCAAATTTGTTGCACCACGTCTTCTGCTGTTCACACATCCACACGTTTTTCTTTTTTACCACGAGATCGAGAAATTTCTGATTTTTTGTCTGTGTTAGTCGATGACTACCATTAGATTTTACCCTCTTGGTAGGCGACGCCAGGTGAATCGTGAACGATGGGGCATGTCTATTTTTATTCAACGTCAAAAGATTCGCCCCTATATTATTCATTCCTAAATAAACTGATGTTCCTGTTATGTCGGTATTTGAATATGAAGTTAGAGGTACGATGATATTTATCTAAAATCTGTCAACGAGTCCATGCATCATCGCCACTATTTACCGGCGTTCTTTATTTGCGGACATTGCACAGAGAAATAAAACCTGAGAGAGTAAACTTTAGCACGCCGCATGTTTTTGGTCAGTGTCACCCCCTTATTCCTTTAATTTATCCATGATTCTCGATAGACAGTCAATATAATTATGTCTTTTACTGAAAAGTTCAATTGCAGAAAACTGTCATGATTGTTTTATTGCAGAAAGCAGTTACGTATTAGTTCTGTTAGATCGCTATTAAATATATCATTTCCTTGGTTCGTCAATCTTTAGTTTACCTTATTTTCTTCACAAGTGTCATTTGGCGAATCCATAAAATATTATATTTTTCCTATCAGAAAAATCAATGAGTGTAAACTAAAAAATAAATTATATAATTTGTCTTTCTTTCGCATTGTTGCTCATGCGGGTGCGTGCATACAATCTGAATTCGTGCGATTAATAAATAGAAGAAAATTCGTATTTTAAGCACATATATCGGTGGCTAGAGCAAACGTTCACAGTGAGATCAGACCATCATTACGCCTTTTATTTCATGACATATATAATTCATAGTCGTTGCTACGTGACATCGAACCCTATACTACTCGTATGACTGCCTGTCTGTCCCCTATGTTTGCCGCTGTGGCTCTCGTGGTTGTGGTTGATTGTTGGTGTGTTCTCCAATTACGTCATTGGTGAACAGGAGGCACCGGCACCTCCGGCACCACACCATCACCTTCAACAGCAAATCCAGCAGCAACTTCTCGCTACCCACGCCTTTATGGTAACTCCCGGTTTTGGTTGGCTTCCACTAATTTTTTAGTTAATTAAAATACCACACGGCAGCAGCGATATCGTTAACAAATTTGATCAATATCACTTCAAATAATCGATTAATTAAAATTATATCGAAGTATCATTGTTTTATTAAATTATTCATTTCGAAGTGGACAAATTTGTTGTAATTCCGTTTAAAAATTTATATTCAGGATGAGAGCAAACTGTAAATTGAATTTATGTAATTGGATAAACAAATTTTATCAGCGATATCGCTACCGCACGTGTTAGTGTGCCTGTAAGACTATTTATTAGTAAGCGTTTGTATGAAAGCTTCGACTTGTTTTTAAAAAGAGTGCCGCACTGTAAATTGAGATTGAAATTTAATTTGCATGCTTTACGAGATGTTTCGTTTTATTTAATCTAAAGAGGCAAAGTCTCTTTCAGAGTTTTGACAAATTTTTTTTATATAGAGAATTTTCCCTGAAAGCATGAGTTTTATATTTTGCGGCCAGAACAGATCGTCACGTTCCTCTCGCTGTTTA